GGCGAAAAATCCCCCTAGCTGACGCAACCGAAGGAAAGCCGCGTTCATTCGCGACAGCCTTATTGGCTGGCTGACTACACAAGAGAGGATATATACAAGAGATTGAGTTGCCGGGTGATCTTACAGTTAGAAAAACAGCCGGCGATGTATGTCAGTATGGGGTTACCTAGTCAAAGTGTTTCTGCATAAAAATCAATATTTGCCTATGGCATCCAATTTGTTTCACGTGTCGGTGAGTTTGATTTTGTTTTGAAGTCGTTAACTGCGCAGTTTAGTGCATAGCATTATGTTTTCATTATTAGTGTGTATGAGAGTTGTCAGATCGCTAGTTTAGTGATATTCCGTCTGCTATTTTCGTTATATAAATTTATAAGACTAGTTAGTAGCTAGCACTTCCATCATTCTGACATACCAGGGTTCGAAGTCGTAACTGCAGTTGATCTAGTAGCAGACCGCCTTGTGCTGATTTTGACAAAGGCATGAGCGTCGTGCCACTCAGAAAACAATGACTGACTAATCAACTTAAAATTGAAACCACACGAATCAGTTTACGGGTTAATCTCTTTTTCTTTTCTTCTTCGCATTCACCAGCTGTAAACTCTGGCGGATAGTTCTGGTTGTTCGTCCACTTCTGGGCTGCAGTCCTGTTCTAGAACTTGAGTGTTGCGTGTGCATCCGTATGACAGATCTGACCAATTTGTATGCAGCCTGTTGGTTCCTTGCCTCTCAGACAGATGCACTTCGACTCTGAAGGAAGCTCCCAATTAGTCGACTCCTACGACATCTCGTAAAGCACGCCTGGTACTTCTTGGAGTAGAGGCGGACTTCATTCTCAAAGTCACTAGCACCTGGTACTTCTGGGAGTAGAGACGGACTTCATTCCCAAAGTCACTAGCACCTGGGAGTAGCGACAGACTTCATTCTCAAAGTCACTAGCACCTGGGAGTAGAGACGGACTTCATTCCCAAAGTCACTAGCACCTGGTACTTCTGGGAGTAGAGACGGACTTCATTCTCAAAGTCACTAGCACCTGGGAGTAGAGACGGACTTCATTCCCAAAGTCACTAGCACCTGGGAGTAGAGACAGACTTCATTCCGAAAGTCACTAGCACCTGGTACTTCTGAAGTCAGAGACAGACTTCATTCCCAAAGTAACTAGCACCTAGTACTTCTGAAGTCAGAGACGGACTTCATTCCCAAAGTCACTAGCACCTGGGAGTAGAGACGGACTTCATTCCCAAAGTCACTAGCACCTGGGAGTAGAGACGGACTTCATTCCCAAAGTCACTAGCACCTGGGAGTAGAGACGGACTTCATTCCCAAAGTCACTAGCACCTGGGAGTAGAGACGGACTTCATTCCCAAAGTCACTAGCACCTGGGAGTAGAGACAGACTTCATTCCGAAAGTCACTAGCACCTGGTACTTCTGAAGTCAGAGACAGACTTCATTCCGAAAGTCACTAGCACCTGGTACTTCTGAAGTCAGAGACAGACTTCATTCCCAAAGTAACTAGCACCTAGTACTTCTGAAGTCAGAGACAGACTTCATTCCCAAAGTAACTAGCACCTAGTACTTCTGAAGTCAGAGACAGACTTCATTCCCAAAGTAACTAGCACCTAGTACTTCTGAAATCAGAGACAGACTTCATTCCCAAAGTAAATAGCACCTAGTACTTCTGAAGTCAGAGACAGACTTCATTCCCAAAGTAACTAGCACCTAGTACTTCTGAAGTCAGAGACAGACTTCATTCCCAAAGTAACTAGCACCTAGTACTTCTGAAGTCAGAGACAGACTTCATTCCCAAAGTAACTAGCACCTAGTACTTCTGAAGTCAGAGACAGACTTCATTCCCAAAGTAACTAGCACCTAGTACTTCTGAAGTCAGAGACAGACTTCATTCCCAAAGTAACTAGCACCTAGTACTTCTGAAGTCAGAGACAGACTTCATTCCCAAAGTAACTAGCACCTAGTACTTCTGAAGTCAGAGACAGACTTCATTCCCAAAGTAACTAGCACCTAGTACTTCTGAAGTCAGAGACGGACTTCATTCTCAAAGTTACTATTACCCGGTGCTTCTGGAGTCAGACACTGTAGCCCATCCAAAAGTCACCCCGCCACCTTGTCAACGTACCCAGAACTATTACAAAAGACGGGGTATTTAATACATGTTAAAGTTCTCAGGCAGGTAATTAGAACTCCCGGTGACTTCCCAGCCGCAGCAGTTCATTGTTCGCTGAAACCCTACCTCCCCGGTGACCTTGCACTTCTAAGCTTTGTCGGGCTAATGTTATTTGTACGTATATAATTAACCCAGTACACACACACACACACACACACACACACACACACACACACACACACCATTGTGTATTATTTACTTTAAATTGATTTTTTTTTTTTAATCTTCCTAAGCCCGCAATTAAATTACGTCGCAGTACATATGTATTAGGAGATTTATGTTATCCGCCCATTCGTTTATCCGTCACAGTCCTTGTCCGGGAGGTGACGTTTGACTGACGTTTTACTGTTATTATAATCTATCTGGCTGCAGATTCGAACACTGGCCGTTTGGGTCGGTACACAAGAACATTAAGGCCGTGGAAGAAACCATAGCTACACACCGTAAATATTCATGGCATTGACACACTCATCTGCTCAACAAATATGCTTTTAAAGTCCGGTGCCGTCTCCGCAATGGAGGTTGGCTTCAGTGTACCACTGTTCTCTTTGGGAATAAATATTACGTGGTGAGGCCCCAATCTCTTCCACGGTGCGACTCTTGTACCATTGTCTATAAACAATGAGAACGGATTATTACCCGTCCACCACGGGTAACGAACCACAGTATTCGAGGGACATGAAATTGTTAACGCATTAAAGATAAATAAGTGAACCATTAAAAAATATGATAAAAATAAAAATATTAAAACCGTCAAACTGTGTCCTGATGCCGGACGCAATTTGTTGTTGTTTTAAAACCACACCCTGACTGTTGCCGGGGGCCCTAATAGAACACAAAAAGACATCAAAAGATTATATGTAAAGTAACCCTCTAGTAACACACCTGACGACATTCATCAAAATATGCCAGACAATAAATTGTGCATTGTATTGTCCGTGTCTGCATTAAAAAAGGTTAGTTGCGTATCCTTTACAGGACGTTGCAGAACCAACCCCAACAGCCCCTTGCTGTTGTGTAGTGTCTCTATGCAAATTTACGCCCAGTAGTTTGCCATTTCTTTCTCTACGGTCGGCCCCCTGATACCACTGTCGAAACCACCGCAATGCGCATGGCCCGCAGTTGGGATCGAACCCGATACCCTGGCAATACGAAGCGTTCGCATCGACTTAGCCACAGAGCCGACTCGTGTCTGCATTATTTATTTTTTTAAAAAGATGACGAATGCGAACACGCGCGCCAAATTATGAACATTAAAAGCACAAATAAATGAATAAGTCATTCATTTACAAATCCTACGTGAAGCTTAATAACGGGATGGCATTATATTATATTTTTTAATAATGCCTCTATACACTTCTTATGTGCGGGCGTTGGTTGGAATTCTGCCTACAGTAATGCGACTGTCTTGACCAGCGATTCTCATTTTGTGGTCGATGGACCCCATGGATTCAACAGATCAAATTTAGAGTCCCCAATATCATTTTTGTGTAAACAATTTTTAAAATGTAATCCATATTTGTGTTTCCTATATTTTAAAATTAAATCCATAAGAAAAAAAAAAAAAATCATTGAGCAGATTTAAACAATTTGGAACAGAAAACTGATCATCACAGTCTGGTGAGAGTGATGCTATGGGGAGTGACGAGGGGATCTGGCCGATACTCGACGCTCTGAGGAAAAGCAAAACGGATATATAATAAAACTGCTACTGGCACCGTTAGTATTAGAACTCTGCATTGGCTGCTGAAGATGGGGACGACGGAGATCTTGAGATTTCGGTTCTTGAACTTTACGCATATTTTTAAATGATAATAACTTCTTGAATGTGATGGAGTGCGTGGCTGACCTTCGAAGATACGAGCGGTCTGGCAGTCTTACATGTTTGGGAACCTCTTGTCTAGACATTACGACTGAACGGGGTTTAAAACTGAGATGTTATATATAATATAGGCTTGAAAGTTGGTCAGCGCCATTATGGTGAAGCTGTAAAAAGTTAGTTGTGTTAAAGCTTGTTCAACGGTTGCTACCGTTGCTATCTATCTATCTATCTATCTATCTATCTATCTATCTATCTATCTATCTATCTATCTATCTATCTATCTATCTATCTATCTATCTATCTATCTATCTATCTATCTATCTATCTATCTATCTATCTATCTATCTATCTATCTATCTATCTATCTATCTATCTATCTATCTATCTATCTATCTATCTATCTATCTATCTATCTATCTATCTATCTATCTATCTATCTATCTATCTATCTATCTATCTATCTATCTATCTATCTATCTATCTATCTATCTATCTATCTATCTATCTATCTATCTATCTATCTATCTATCTATCTATCTATCTATCTATCTATCTATCTATCTATCTATCTATCTATCTATCTATCTATCTATCTATCTATCTATCTATCTATCTATCTATCTATCTATCTATCTATCTATCTATCTATCTATCTATCTATCTATCTATCTATCTATCTATCTATCTATCTATCTATCTATCTATCTATCTATCTATCTATTTAATTACGCTATTAAATTACCACACTTTATTATAATTTTCTTGTTTTTGTTTGTTCCACACCAGAAGAAAGTTAACCATCACAGGCTGCTAGAATTTAACTCACCTTTAGCGCACGTGACTAATCTTCTGGGCATCGAAAGATCTTCCTCTCCCAGGATCCGAGAGATAAACAACCCCACCAGACTGCATTTGAGGTCATTCATACGTCACCGACCATTGACAATCACCATATTGACCCCGTGGCCCTGGCAACAGACCCAGCCTGTAAACACAACATGAACGTGCTGGGAGACAACCCCACAATATGGGTGTTCGGTTACGGGTCGTTGCTGTGGAAACCGGACTTCCGGTTTAAGTCGAAGAAAATTGGGTATATCAAAGACTACGAGAGGCGTTTCTATCAAGGGAATGAGACGTTCCGGGGCAGACCTGGACAGGTAAGAGAGAGAGAGAGAGAGTATGCGTTCCGTGGCTGAACTCCGGCGGAAAGTTTTGGTTGTTCGTCCACTTCTGGACTGTGGGCCTGCTTCATAAACTGAGTATTGAGTGCACATTAGTTTTACGGATCTGATTCGTGTATATGCAGACTGTTGGATCCTTGCCTCTCAGGCATATGCATTCTGACTTCAAAGGAAACTCCCAGTTAGTCGACCCAAAATGGGACCCTGGAACCAACAAGGGGAACTCAATAATTGATTATTGCCGTATACCCAGTAGCAGGAAGCCCCTAGCTACGTCATAGATGTCGACCCGACCAATGAAAAGACAGTATGTTTTCAATAGACGGTCAAGACATGGTGGTGCCTGTCTGTTTTCCCTATACTGGCTATTGCTACTCGGTCCTAAGTCGATCTTTCCTGGTTACACCAAGCCACGGCCGACTCTTTTCTGGAGAATGCGGTGACCTAGCATAGAACGCAGACATTTTATTTCCCTTCTGTTTTCTGAAGAGTGTCCAGTTTTCACCTGTGTCGGGGCACCAGTATAGGGAAAACAAGAATAGCCCAATTGTCCCCTAACAAGCGTGTCGTAAAATTCGACTAATTAGGAGTGTTTCCTTCGAAGTTAGAGTCCATCTGCCTGAGGAGCGAGGACCACACAGTCTGCACATAAGTGAGTCAGATCTGTAAAACGGATGTGCGTGCACAATTCATGTTCTGAAACAAGACTTAAGTCCAGAAGTGAAAGAACAGACATAACTTTCAGCCGGGGTTTACAGGTGATGGAGGCGAAGAAGAAGAAGAAGAAGAAGCAGAAGAAGAAGAAGAAGAAGAAGAAGAAGAAGAAGAAGAAGAAGAAGAAGAAGAAGAAGAAGAAGAAGATGGACATCGAGGAGGAAAAGAAAAAGAAGAAGGAGTTGGGGAAGGAGAAGAAGAAAAAAGAAGAAGAAGAAAAAGAAGAGAATAATAATAATAATTACAACCAGCTTTGGAGCTATAGGAACTGCCGAGGCGAGTGACTAAATATTTATCCTCTTCTGGTCTGTTACCACAAGATGGACACCCATACGTCTCGAAGCGTTGCACGCTGAACGACGCCCAAAAGTGCAGATCCCAGAACACCGCAATCAACCTCCAAAGAAGTTATCTTCAGCCGTACCGGTTGTAACAAGACTTACCCTGGTGTATCTTGCTGTTCACTACCGTGTTCTTAAGTACAGAGATAACCTAATGACTTTTTCTGCGTTCTCCCCTAAGGGGGTGGTTGGCGCGTGGTGCTGACGTTTACAGCAAGGCTGTGATATACTCCCCCTTTCAGCCCAGTACATCCGATTTCAGCAAACCCTTACTAAATAACTTTTTACAACAGCTTGGTGGATGTGGGAGAGTGTAATGAGTCTTTTCATGTTACCCAAAAATGGACCTTGAAACCAGCGGTACTTTGTAACTTAATCCATAGGTAAAGCACACTGCCCACAAAAGAGACGAAAGGAAATAGAAATGCGTGGAAGCACCAGACAACATTAATATTTGAATATGTGCACGCACTAGAATTGAAACCTTAGAGATCAGGACATTGTCACGTAGTAGGATCAAATGTATTCTGACGCACAACCTGGCCTCCGATCAGTGCCTTCGAATTTATTTATGATAGAGTTTTATCCAGTTAACATGCACATATAGATAATGATTGTCTTTCCCATAGTTAACATTAATCATCATCATCATCATTTTCCATTATAGTTTGTCACCCTTGCTGGGTCTGTGAAGACTGGTCGAAAGTTCGGTTGTATTTCTTCTTCTTCTTCTTCTTCTTCTTCTTCTTCTTCTTCTTCTTCTTCTTCTTCTTCTTCTTCTTCTTATTCTTCTTCTTCTCGTTCGCTTCCAGAACCTGCGTGTTGCGTACACGTCCGTTTCACAGATCTGACTCATTTGTATGCAGACTGTTGGTTCCTTGCCTCTCAGGCATATGCACTCTGACTTCGAATTAGGCTAAATATTATTCGACTCTAATGACATGCTTGTTAGGGAGGGGAGGTAGGTAAGTCTATTCTTATTTTCCCTCACAATGGGACCCCGGAACCCACATGTGGAGTTCGGTTGTATTTAAGCGCGTCTTATCCGTTCCCCTGCTGCATCATCGGCGACCGGGTCGCCCAGTGCCTCGCCGGCAGACCACTTCGTCACTGGTCGGGGCAGTATTTGGGCCTGTCTCCTTTGATCGCATCAACACTTTACAAGTTCTTTTCAGAGTTACTTGGTGACGAGCAATGCTTAGCCATTTTAAACTGGGGGGCTGCCTGGTCTCGATGAAGACTGAGATTTTTCACGACGACTTCTGGTAATTTGCCCTGGTCTCTGTGTAGTAAGGTCGGACGCCCGTGTGTATTCTTGCACACGTAAAAAAATCCCTTGGCAGTTGATAATCGAAAAGAGTGGCCTAACGGCGCTGCCCGGGCAACATATGGAGTTAAAAATCTACCTAAAAAATTTCAGGATCCTCGCCGGTGTTACGGAGCCCGTGCACTGCACTGAGCTACTTCGGACTTAAGACTTGAGTTAGAAGTAGAACGGAGCACTTATGGGTTACTACCTATGTGCCATGATGTTGATCCATTGTTTAAACCTCAGACCCTAAACTTTTAAGTCACAATCTACGTTATAGAATGACACAAGAGCCAAGATCATTTTCGAAATATTATTACAGAAGAAAAGTGTTTTGTTTATAAATGTGCTGGTATGCTGATTTTACAAACGATAATAATCCGTCTGCTAAATCTGTATCTAACCTGTTTACCTAAGACTTTCAATGCGAGACAACTAACGAGCTTATACTCATCATTAATTTCATTCAAAAACTTTGCTTTTATTATTTTATTATCCCATTCTGTTTATTCTGTTTTCAGCCTGGCAGAGTGGCCAACCTGGTGGAAAACAAAGGGGTAGGTGGATATTGCGTTTGTTTGTGAGCTAAAGCTGTTTTTTTTTCCCTTGTGTGTGAGCGAAAGTTTATGCTTAGTGACTGAATGTAAGATCACATCACATCATTTACCGGCGTATCCTTTGTGCTGCTATAATATTCTATAAGCTGTCAGTCTGGTTGGCCACTTTGATTCATTTACATCTTTGTGCGGCTGTCATAGGCTACTCTTTTGTCCAGTTGCTGTACCTTGCTCTGACATTCTTTTAATCCGGAATCGGGGTAATATTACATTTAGCTCTAGATAGATCTAATAAGATAGAATGGACTTACGCACCGAGTTCCTAAAAGGTGTAAGGAAATGCGGGATAGCTGAGGGCAGAGGGGGAGCACAGTTAGAATCATTTGTTAAAGGCCACCTTGATACTTTCGATTATATGGTTGCCCGTAAGGCTGCAGAGAAGAAGCGACAGTTAGAGAAAGAAGAATTGGACTCGATGCTTGCTCGTCATGCAGCAGAGAGGGTTAGTATATATCCTTGAACAGAAAAGTTAATGTAAAAGTTAATGTGTTTCCATTATATTTTTTTTTGAGGTAATCTTTTTTAGAGAAGGTAGCAAGAACATGGATTTTCGTTAACAAATTTTAAATCCTCTTCTGCGTTCGCCCTTAAAAGTTCGGTTGCCGCGTAACGTTGTGATTAACAGCTAGGCTGCGATATCTGCGATTTCTAGCCCAACAGTCCGATTCCAGAAAATCCTTCATTAACCGGCCGTTACGACCTGCTTGTCGGTGGCAGCCAGTCTAATCTCCCCCCCCCCCTTTCCCGTAGAATGGGACCTTGTAATCCACACTGGAATAAAACAGGCAGGACTGCAGTCCAGAAGTGGACGAACAAACAGAACTTTCCACCGGAGTTTACAGCTGGTAAACACGAAGAAGAAGAAGGTATTAAATGCAATGGTCAAAAGGGGTTTAATGAGTTGACTTGGAAGTCAAGTATCGATTCAGCTTAACAAGAAAACAGAACACGAAAGTAAGTAAAAAAGTAAAGGACCACTTTTCTTGCCTTTAGACGTATTGATATAGGTCAAGGCCGATATTTTATAGACCAATCGGAACTTGGTGGGTTATGTAGTCGAAACACTGTCGGCTTCCATTAATTTTTATTTAAGGCTAGGTCAGCCCATTAGCCAAAGTCCGACTCCTTCAGGGCCTGAACCCACGACCTTCCAATCCACAAGAGAGCGTCTAGCAACTACACCACAACGGCTGCCAACAGAAAACTTAGTTATAAACAATTCACGGCACCGTGGCGGCTTTGTGTGTGTGTGTGTGGATCCAGTGGATATTGCTAGCGCGTACAGTATCCACGCCTGGAGAGACTGATGCTTGGAAGGATGAGCAGAGGGCTGCGCCCGATGCAATAATTTCCCCCATGGTTGTACGATTACCACCTCGTTGATGTGAATCCTGTATAAATTCAAGTGAGCTCCGTTACAACCGTAAGATTACACTGGGGCCCCCTACCCTTACAAAGTAACCTAAAGTCCGGACTAGGCAGGCAGTTATTTCATGAATCCTAGGCAGGTACCATCAGCGTTGGAATTGTCCTAGCTGCCGAGGAATAAGTAGACACGGACACATTGAGAAGGTGATACCGAGGCGTTCCGTCCGTTACAGTTTTAAGGTGCAGATGCTCGAGAGGTCTTAACTTTGTTTAAGTGTATAATAATAATTATTATTATTATTATTACTATTGTTTGCTAAATGACAAAAAGGTGTAATAAGATATGTGTAATAATATGAAACTTTGGGGGGGGGGGGGGGAGGAGCGAGCGGATTAATTGGATTTTGCATTAACTTCATTGCGGAAAATTGTTTCGGTTCCGAACATGTCGGTTCGCAAACAGAATCAAGAACGAATTAAGTTCGTGACCCGAGGTACCATTGCAGTTAAAATAAATAGCACCTATATATGGGGGGGGGGGGTGAACTTAAGATACTTACGCCGCTATGTTTTGGGACCCCCGCGAGCACGTGCACGAATGCAACAAATTCAGTGTTGTTTATTCTGTATCCCAAGTACCCAAATAACATATTTTCTACGTCAGCGGTTCTCAACCCAACAGGTCGCCACTTTTTTTTTGGGGGGGGGGGGGGGTCGAACGATCCATTCTCAAGGGTAGCCTGAGACCAGAGGAAAACACATATTCATTGAAGTTATAAAGGAAAATAATTGTTTGGGGGATGCCACAACATGAGAGAACTGTATTAAAGGGTCGCCACAACATGAGAGAACTGTATTAAAGGATCGCCACAACATGAGAGAACTGTATTAAAGGATCGCCACAACATGAGAGAACTGTATTAAAGGGTCGCCACAACATTAGAGAACTGTATTAAAGGGTCGCCACAACATGAGGGAACTGTATTAAAGGGTCGCCACAACATTAAAAAAGCTGGATTAAAGGATCGCCACAACATGAGAGAACTGTATTGAAGGGTCACCACAACATGAGAGAACTTTATTGAAGGGTCGCCACAACATGAGGGAACCGTATTAAAGGGTCGCCACAACATGAGGGAACCGTATTAAAGGGTCGCCACAACCTGAGGGAACTGTATTAAAGGGTCGCCACAACATGAGGGAACTGTATTAAAGGGTCACCACAACCTGAGGGAACTGTAATAAAGGGTCGCCACAACATGAGAGAACTGTATTAAAGGGTCACCTCAACATAAGGGAACTGTATTTAAGGGTCACCACAACCTGAGGGAACTGTATTTAAGGGTCACCACAACACGAGGGAACTGTATTTAAGGGTCACCACAACATGAGGGAACTGTATTAAAGGGTCACCACAACATGAGGGAACTGTATTTAAGGGTCACCACAACATGAGGGAACTGTATTTAAGGGTCACCACAACATGAGGGAACTGTATTTAAGGGTCACCACAACATGAGGGAACTGTATTAAAGGGTCACCACAACATGAGGGAACTGTATTAAAGGGTCACCACAACATAAGGGAACTGTATTAAAGGGTCGCGGCACTAGGAAGGTTGAGAGCCAGTGCTCTACGTCACCATTTTCTGCAGCAACATTCAAGATATCTTTAACATACGTACCGAATTTACCTACACTTTTTTTTTAAACTCTTGTGTTTATTAGACAGCAACCCTCTATGTACCCGCCTCTTTTCCCACATTTCTTCTCTCATTCTATTCTTGTCCTATGCTGCAAGTTTGGTGCCAAATAACACAGTAACCTGTGGCTTCGGTGAAAGGTCGATAACCTGTACTGCACCATCAACAATCACGTGTACTTCTCGTGTTTAGCGCCTAGGGTCAGAGGTCGCAGTTTTGTTATTCTCCCTTTGGCTTTAAACACCAACTTGGGGTTATCTGCAGGGAAGATTTTACTCCGCAATAACGGAAAAACTCCAGCAGCAAATATGTGTTTACTCTTCAATCCAGAGTATGCTATCGTCTGACTCTCTACTTTGGTTACAAGTCTCCAGCAAATATTTATCGGATACTTTCCCGCCACATAGGAAGTGGATTTTGTATGCAAGCATTTAGCATAAAATAGTTGGCAGCATGGGCGACGGAACAGATGGACTTAAAAACCGTGAGGTCCCCCGCTTCCCAAGCACGCATTGTTTAGGGGCTCCCCCCTCCAATAATTCTTAGAGAGTAGCGCTGCCCAGCCCACATAAATGGATATTGTCTTTGTGTGCTTTTGCTTATAAATTTCGTATTATTTTAAATATATGCCCAATACGCCTGTAGGCGTGCATGGAAGAGTGATAACGTAATGTAAAAGACTAATCGACTTTCGCTGGGTGATGTGGTCAACGTCACGCCGGTCGCCTTCATTTCCCATGACTTTACCTGCTACCCTGTCCACCTGGAAGCCAATGTTATTTTAGTGTGTGGGTGGGAGTGGAGTCTGGTGCGGTTCGGACATAAGAACCCACGACCTTCTAATCGCAGGCATGTGTCCAGCCACTACACCACTTTCACACAATAATAATAATAACTGTTTTTTATTATTATTGCACAATTGAACAAGGCTTGAACACATACACAGACACACACACACTCTCTCTCTCTCTCTCTCTCTCTCTCTCTCTCTCTCTCTCTCTCTCTCCCCTCGCATCAATGTTTTCTCGGTGCCGGCGCGCTGGACAGAATGCATTACTGACTAAATGGCCGCACTGACTGTATCTCTCCAAATGTTAACGTAAACACAAACACTGTTTGCACCGCACAGACACTGCAGTCGGAACACTGCAGACGAGATAGTACCTGTCCCTGCGCCGGGATGACTCGCAATTTGGTGGCAGATAAACATGGTTGTTTATCTCTGTTCTATCTGTCGGTACACATGGGTCAGTTGATGAATGGGGGTTGGCATGTAGAGGCGGGACATCTATCTATCTATCTATCTATCTATCTATCTATCTATCTATCTATCTATCTATCTATCTATCTATCTATCTATCTATCTATCTATCTATCTATCTATCTATCTATCTATCTATCTATCTATCTATCTATCTATCTATCTATCTATCTATCTATCTATCTATCTATCTATCTATCTATCTATCTATCTATCTATCTATCTATCTATCTATCTATCTATCTATCTATCTATCTATCTATCTATCTATCTATCTATCTATCTATCTAATCTATCTATCTATCTAATCTATCTATCTATCTATCTATCTATCTATCTATCTATCTATCTATCTATCTATCTATCTATCTATCTATCTATCTATCTATCTATCTATCTATCTATCTATCTCTCTCTCTCTCTCTCTCTCTCTCTCTCTCTCTGTCTGTCTGTCTGTCTGTCTATTTATATGTCTGTCTACCTGTATGTCTACCTGTTTGTGTATATATATATATCCCATCCATCCATCCAACTGTCTAGCTGTTTGTCTGTCGTTCTGCCTGTCTGCCTATAGATTTACCTTCTTATCTATCTGTATATCTACATTTGTGTGTGTCTATCTACATTATTCACGTATTTGCACGTATATTATTATAGTAGGTCGATACGTAGGTACATCGACAGTCATACAGACTACGTATCGGCCTGTCTATATATTTTTATGTCTGTCTTTCTACCTACCTGCCTGTCACCTCGCTATCAACGCGTTTATCTCGCAAGACAGTCAGTATCGACATTCACTATACTTTCCAAGAAGAATTCTAATTATTTCATTTTGTATCTGCCAACAGAGCCAGGCCTGGGGTGTGGCCTATGAAATCAGCGGACGAGAAGAAGTGATCAAAGTCCTCCGGAATCTTTATACCAGGGAAGCTGCTTGTGGTGGCTATGTCACCATGGTTACGACCTTTTACCCCAGGGAGGAACCGCATGACAGACGTTTGACAGGTTCCCACAGAATCGGCCAATCATCTGTTACAACCGAGTTCCAAAAGTCGGGAAATGACGTCGATTGCCAGTTTGTGTACCGTGCACACACAGATTATTTGCACGGCATAAAAAGGGTAAATTCTGATGAAAGCCTTGATGGGTCATCAAGTGACGATGATGAGGATGACTCCAAACAACAAAATCTACGCGTAACTGAAATCTTAACAAGCAGCGAAAGAGGCACAGAAGATGAATTCACCAGAAACGTAGACAGTAAGGACGGTGAGGGAAACATTAACTACTTGATGCATTATCTCCATGAATTTAGTAATATCAAGACAGAACAGTTTTTTATGGACTTTGAAAACGATGATCATTCCTATCACGAAAGTCTTTCTTCTACACCCAAGTCGTCTCACCTGCACAGACTGCACGTTGTTGATTCCGAACATCGACCATCGCCATTCCCTATTCAAGTTCTCTTATACACAGCAACCCCTGACAACGACCTTTACCTTGGCCCCGCTGACGTCAGCGTCATGGCGCGTCAGATTGTCAGCGCTAGCGGAAGTGCCGGGTCTAATGTTGAATACGTCACCAAAACTGCGGACTTTGTCCGGAAGTACATTCCAGAAGATCAAGACAGCCATCTTTTTAGCCTGGACGCTAAGGTCAGGGAGGAGGTTTACAAACAGCACGCTGAGGGTTCTGTGAGACTCCAGCTGGGTTTTGCCGACCTCAACCATGACTTATATGAAATGGACGTTTTAGCGGAACCAGTCATGGCGTCATAGTTTTCAGTTGTCAGGAATCTCAAGAGACTTAGTACTGCTACCATCTATATATAATATATTCTGCTTACATGTAGATCTGTGCTGATGAGCTGCATATGTTTAAACTCGTCTGCCCCTTTAGTATTCATTTAGAATACAGTAATACATCTATATTTAGAATTCATTTGCATATCTAGATTATGGTATGTATATGTGTATAAATTTCATGTTATTGTTGATATATTAAAAAATTGTGTGCCGTCTTCACAATGTAGATTGGCTAAATTACACCCACTGTTTTCTTTGAGATTAATATGCGGTAAGGCGCCTAGTTTCTTTCATGGAACAACTGTTGTACTACTTTCCACAAACCATGAAAACTTTTTTGGTGCTTTATTAATATCCTACCCCAAAGAGGGAAAATCCACAGGTCACAGGACAGTCTAATATTTCAGGGGGTGGTAGATAGGCTGCACGCAGTCGTGGGACCTAGGCTACATGCAGTCGTGGGATCTAGGCTGCATGCAGTCGTGGGACCTAGGCTGCATTCTCTTGTGGGACGTAGGTGGGTTGGGGTTAGGACCAGTTCTTGATGTTTTAGGTCGTTAAAAGCATCAGAAAGCCGGGAAACCCAGTCTCACCATCTTCTAAAATGTTGGACTGTCCTGTGACGTCATCTAAGCAAGATAATAATAAAGAATCACTTTTTTAATAAACAGTTTTTTGGAGCCATGCCAATGAGGATCATTACATTGTTAAACACGTTCACTAACCTCTAAGCCACAGAGCCGCAGATGAAGGTTAAAGTCGTGAGAAGTGACTTCAATGTACTGCATTTTATTCCCTATGGCTCGGTCTCTCTCCACAGAACGGCTAGCCGCCTGCTGAGCGCGTCGCACAAAGCACAAACGCCGTACCTCCAAGGAGGATCTTCTGGAATCTCCGCAAAAACTGCATTCAAAAATGAACGGCGCCGCCGTGAAGCGAACACACGAGCTTCAGAGCTCGAGGCAAACGACTTGACCATTTCGTCACAGAGAGCCGCACATTGAGGATTTTAGTCCTTCTCATGTGTCTTTTATCTCTGAAAGATGACATCACCCATCAAAACACATCGGCCACCGAGTCGCCCATTGGCTCCGGTCAGGACAGTAATTGGGTTCGTCTTCTTTGATCGCATCAACACTGCAGGAGTTGTTTTTTGCCGGAGTTTACAGCCGGTGAACGCCAAGAAGAAGAAATAGCCTCTTAGCCTTTTATGACATGCTTCTTAGACTGGCAGTACAAGAGGTCTATGAAAGAAAAATGACAAAAAAATCATGATTGTGAAAAATCCTGATTATTTTCACAGTAGAACCATATACATATTGATAATTCCATTGGCGTTAGCCAGATTTCTGTGATATGTTCTGACTAAATATTAAGAGAGGGAGGAGGACAAGGGTCAGAGTCACTCACCAGGGGGCGTTATTTGGGAGCGAATGAGTGAATATTCATGAGTTAATAATTATGAATTAATATTTCACATTTCTGCTGAAGCCCAGTATAGAGAACTCGGTGACTTATTTGTCTCATCTGTATAGTAAACGGATATAAATGAATTTAAAAAACGGAGAAAAAGAGAGAGAGAGAGAGAGAGACTAGCTGGGAAAATTCTCAGCAACTTTACAGCAAAAGTATGTCTGCACTTGCTTGCCAGGGTCAAACCCCGATCACCGAATGCATTTCTGCACTGACATAGAGAGCAGTATATCCCCTTGGGTTGCAAGGCCTGGCCTGAAATCTGGACAAGTTGTCGTCGGCGGTGCGAAACAGAATAGCTGGAGAGAGAATGTGTTCAGCCCAGTTGCTGCATGCAGAAGGTGTGCGCAGTCACATGCATCTAATGCTCTCAGAAGCTGGGCTGCCAATGATGGGTTTTACCCTCAGATCTGGGGTTTTAATTTGGCTCCTCGGGTTCACATTTTGAAATCTAGGTTTTTCAAAAATATATCCTTATACAAAAGTGAGTAAATGTTTCGTTTCATAACTATAAAATTTGTACTTTTTAACAATCTGGGTTTTTTATTTTGTTTTTTGTTCTTCGCTTATTTATTGCTTGGGTTTTTGTTCAGCTTAGCTGGGTTTTTTGAGAAAAAAAAAAACATTGGCAGCCCTGGTTGCAGTCTCCTTGACATTGTGTTCTATTTTCGGGGAAGTTCTTTCCCCATTGACGTCAGTGGCCTTGACATTGCTTGGTATTTCTTCTTAGGGAGATTTTCAATGACAGTAGTTTTCTAACCCCTATGAAACCTGCAACTTTGTCGGACCAGACGGAATATTAGATTAAGTAAAGTTTTGTAAGGTTGTGAACTGTCCTTGCAGTTTTACCTATGCATGACTTGTATGTATTGTTTTGTTTTATACGCTACCTCATGAATGCCGGGGTGATACTGAACATATGATCCATCCAATGCTGTGGTTTTCACTTTTCGTTTGTTTTACTGCATTTAAAAATGATTTCTGTGCTTTTGTTTCCAATCCTCTTCCCTCCATAATTTATAATTCCAACATAACCAATTCCAGGTGGCGTAGATTTGTATCATGGCATGGGGAGTCGACCCAGCCTAAAATTAGTACCAGAATGTCCTAGGGAAGTAAAGACGGCCGGCGTAATGCTGACCGCATTACCCACCTAGTCCTAATTGGTCTGTAAAAATATGGATGTTTTCCCATATGCCCGATGTGCCTAAAGGCGTGAAGAGAGATCTTTACTTACTTTAGGTTACAAGGGAGAGATGTGACAGCAAGCTGCGTTTGCTGATTCCGAAGCGTGGACCGTTGAGTCAGCGATGACAAGCAGTTGCTTAGTAAAACGTCATCATCATCATCATCCTGTTGTGCCAGTGCTGGACAGCTAACTTACATACAACTTAGGGCCTCATAATCTGTAGGGGCCTCAAAAAATTTCTATTTTTTGTTCACAAAAGCTATTTTCTAAAAGAGCCTTTAAATGGTTACAATAATGTAATTTGTGGGATGTTGCTACACTTTTTTATTGAACAGAAAATTGAACGACAGTAAATTTCCGACATAGGGAGCTGCAGTGGTCTAGCGGCTAGACGCTCAGCTGTAAATCGGAAGGTCGTAGATTCGGTTCCTGGCGAGGGCCGGATTTTTTTCCAAAAATGGCCTTGGCTGCCAAGCTTACCCAGCCTTGAGTGGGTACCTGTTGCAGTCCTGGGAAAGTAAAGGCGGTCGGCGTGATGCTGACCACATCACCCACCAGGTGCCGTTTGGTTATAAAAATATAAGTCTAGCCCTATATACCCAGTACGCCTGAAAGGTGTGCAAAAGGGTCCTTCACTTTATTTTCCTATTTCCAACATCCATATATTTAAAAAAATAGTAGGGCCTCAGGACTTTTTATAGCTTAGGACCTCATCAAGTGTAAATGCTCCGTGTGTTACGCCATTAAAAGTCACATAGGGCTCACAGTCTACTGAAAAACAATCGGTGTTTTTTTTTTGTTTCATTCTTCTCCTGAGGCAAACCAAAACCGGCTCCAGCTGACGGGGCCCATGCTGCTGACGTCACCAGACCGGGCTAACGAATACTTTAACACAGCTATTCTTAAACTGGGTGCCGCGAGCGTATGTCAAGGGTACTGCGGCAATTAGCAAGTGTGTTAATGAAGGCTGTTTAGCCAAAACATCCACTTGTCATTTGTGTTTGTTTGTGGTAATGTAAAGCTAAATGGTTCTACTTTTCGTCTGGTTTTATGTTGTTGTTGTTTTTGTTGTCTTTTTATATATATAACATTGCTGCCTGCGTTGCACAGTTCTGTTTGTTGGCAGGCTAGTTAAACGTCTGAGCTACATAGTTTGTTTTCTAATGAGAGCTAAAGCAGTTACTGCTTGTATTGACCGATACATAAGAAAATATGTTAGGTTAGTTAGTTGCGTATCCTTTACAGGACGTTGCAGAACCAACCCCAACAGCCCCTGGCTATTGTGTGGTTTTTCTATTCAAATTTACGTCCAGTAGTTTGCCATTGCTTTCTAGACGGGCGGCCTTCTTTATACCAAAGGAAATATGTAATGAGTAGTTTAATAGTGTGCTGAGGGGTTTGAGGTTTGAACAACGGATCAACATCATGGCACATGGGTAGTAACCCATAAGTGCTCCGTTCTTCTTCTAACTCAAGTCTGAGTCCGGAAAAGCTCAGCACAATGCACAGGCTCTGTAGCACCGACGAGGATCCTGAAATACTTTGGGTATATTTTTAACTCCAAATTTTGCCTGGGCTGCGCCGTTATGCTATTCTTTTTGATTTCCAACTGCCAGTGGATTGTTTACGTGCGCAACAATGCACACGGGCATCCAATTTCACTACCCAGAGACCAGGCGGAATTACTAGAAATCCAAGTCAATGTGAAAAAACCCCAGCCCTTACCGGGCATTGAACCCAGAACCTCTAGCACTCGAGGCGGACACCATGCCTCGAAACCACGCAGCTCCGTTTAGTGCACTGAGAATAGTTGTTAATTCAAATCAATAAAATGTTTTGTTTATCTTTATGTCCAGGTGTTTTTGTCAAGCTTATGTAGTCAGTTGCTGACAGTATGTATACCTGGTGTATTTGTGATCGGCTAGCCGCTACACCGCGGCGGCAGTCTGGTATATTTTAAGTAACATCTGACCGGCTCTTCGTATTTTCATCTGAGACATGACTATAAGTTTCTGAAAATGTCCCGGTAACCATAAAGGGTGGGAGCTCTACTGGCTGTGCGTCTCCTAGGAATTAAACCCAGGCCATTATCTCGACAGTAAAGCGTTATAATTTACATGCCATCGCCGTTCTTTTATTCCTGTTATCATGTAACAAAACAAAGAAACAAAAAAAATCAGCTGTTGTGCAAAGTGACTCAGCTTGTTTTATTTACAAATATGTTTTTTTTTAAAACAAATACAGTCTACCTCTCTATGGTTGCCATAAACCTCTTATCGATGAGAATCAAACAGGTGCAAACCTCTGAGTT